GGGCACCCGCCCAGCTCCCCGGGTCCCCGGCGCCCTCCAGGCCTGGCCGCACTCACCCTCCTTGGCTTTCTTCCTCCGGGCCAGGGTTCCTCCGAGTTTCCCCAAGAAGGAGTCATCTTTCTTGCGAGACGGGGGCGACTTGGGGGTGGGGGACTTGGGGGCCGAAGGCGACTTCTGCGGGGAGGAGGCCATGGCGCGCGCGGGCGGGCGCGGGCCGAGCGGGACGCGGAGCGGAGCTGGAGCTGGAGCTGGAGCTGGAGCCGGAGCTGGGCGGACGCGGCGCACTGAGGCTGCGGCTTTCCAAACGGAAGCGGAATTATTCCAAGCATTTGAGGCAGCTCCGCTCGCCTTTCCCTTCCCTCGCTCCCTCCCCCGCGCCGCCCTCCGCCCTGCTCGGAGCTGCGCCCTGGCTCTGGCCGGCCCCGGGCTCTCTGGCGCGGGGACGGAGCGGGGACGAAGGCCCTAACCCGAGGCCGCGCGGCCTCATCTGTTTAGGTGTGTGTGACCTTCCCGGCTGGGAGCTGGGAGCGCAGAAGCTGGGAGGCTTCATTCCCCAGACACCCACCCAGCACCGGTCCTGGCACAAATCAGGATCTGAAAGGAACCAACCCTGTTACTCAACCCCCGCCAGTCTCTCCGGTGGAGCATCTGCTTCCCTGCACTGCGGCCGCCTGTCCTCTTAGGTCCATGGCTTGTGCCTAAGACATGAGCCTGCTGGTGGAAGAAAGAATTGGCGTGAACCAAACTGTGCCCCGGCCCCAGCAGAGTAGACACCGACAGCCTGACTCACACTTGGTGCCAGCCTCTCCGTCTCCAACCCCTTCAAGACGGAGAAGTTGGAAGCCCAAGAAGACTGGGCACCGGCTTGTTCCTGCAAGATGCCCACGTTGCTAGCAGCCCCCGGCTGGTACCGAAGCTCCCAGTGCTGGTGGAAAAGAGCTTGGGGAAGGCACGACCACGGACACGATGGGACAGCCCTCCCCCAACTCATCCTGTCTAAGTAAAAGCCATAGAGTGACTGCCCAGTTGGCCTACCATTAAGAGGGTGTCAGCTAATCTGGTGTTTCAAGAACTCATTCTGATACATTGTATCCTGCCTGCCCACAGAAGTCACCATGAAATTGTGTTTTGATTATATCATTAACAGCTCGTGTCCAGGAGAGCAGATACAAAAGGACATCTTCAAAATCTAACCTGCAGCTGTGGTGGGGAATTGGGAGACCAAGCTGCTCAGTAGTGGGGTGATCTTGGGAAAGTTGAATGCTTGTTCTGAGTTTGTTTCTTCCTTTATAAGATTGAAGTGGTCAGAACAGCACAGTGGCTCTCAAACCCAACTGAGGTTAATCCGAATTATTGACCATTAATAAGCCCTGTCTGCAGAAGTTCCGATTCAGCGACTTTGAAGTGAAATCCAGAAATAGGGAGCTTTTAAACCTATTCTATTAGGTGATTTTGACAGAACTGATTCACACCGAGATGTTTGGGCATGTAGGGCTACTTCATGTTCTATGACTCTTTTACAAATTGAATCCAAACTGTATCCAGGACAGACAAATTGTTTATGTCTGTATCCAGTGCTAAAGATGGCATGATAAAGATTACCCATGGAGATTTCTTACTGAGTTGCTCATACATGGTTTCCTCCTACCCCAGTAATTATAAAGACAGCACCAAAGTAAATGTGTGATGTGATGAGGTTCTTCTGAATCTCAAGGCCAGACTTTCCCTGAAAAACTTGACAAATTGCAGTGGGAGAGAATAATCTCAGGTCTACTCTTAGCTTAGAAGCTAGGTGCTCGTGGACAAATCTCTGCCTGGTCTTTCCCTTCCATCCATCACCTATAAAATGAAGCCAACGCAGTAGCTGCTAAAGCTGAACATCATACATTCCTTACAACCAACAATTTCAAGTGTAGGTGATTTTTATGATTTTCTCTAAACTTTGAAAACCAGCGAGCAAAAGTAATAGGAAGAACAGAAAAAATTTTGTTGTTGTTGTTTGCCTTGCTGCGGAATGTGCACTGGATCTCACACATGCTAGGCACGTGCTGTATCACTGAGCTACACCTCCCCTCCCCGCTTTTTATTTTGAGACAGAGTCTCATTAAGCTGCGCAGATAAGCCCCAAACTTGCTGTCCTCCTGCCTCAGCTTCTCAAGTATGGAAGTAATGGAAATTCAGGCATGCACCACAACTTGGTAACAAAGTTTGATTGTTGAATTCTGGCTCTCAAAAAATAGTACCAGCCCAGCGTGGTGGCACACACCTGTAATCCCAGCAGTCGGGAGGCTGAGGCAGGAGGATTGTTTTGAGTTCGAGACCAGCCTAGGCTGTAAAGTGAGCTCAAAGCCACCCTGACCTGCATAGCAAGACCCTGTCTTAAAAAGAAAAAAAATAGTATCAGCAAAACAAGTCATAGAGAAAAGAAAGCTGAGATTATTACAGACAGTCAAAAGGGGAGTCTTTATGGTGTCTGCAAGTAGAAGAGAACAAAAGGGGTATATTTATAAGGCTGCAAGATCTGGATGAAGCCAGGCCTTTTGGTGCAGTGGTGCCTAAATTTGGCTAAGGATTGTGATACACTTACTTAGGATTGGTGACTACAAGGTGAAGCTTTCAAAGAGTCTCAAGGAGTAAACAGTCTTTTTAACGCTATTGAAATGTGTACTGGTTTTATATTCACTTCAGTGAGATTTTAAGGGAGGCTCCTGAAAAGAACCATAAAGCTATTGGCCACTTTTATCTTGCTGCGCAAGAGTTTTCTGGGATAAAGGAGAGGAATGGACAAGTGTCATTACTGTAGGCAGAAACCTGTGTGAGTGTGAATGCTTTCCAGGGTCTTCAGAACTTTTTGCCCCGCAGATAACTATTAATTTCTTGAGAGGCTGATGGAAAGTGGGTGATGATTTCAAAAATCCGTACTACTTGAAGTGTAGCCTATAAATCAGTGTTGATCTGAATCCTGTTATTACCCTGCAAAGATACACAGAGATTATGTTTTTAGAAACTTTGATATAACTGAGAATGCAATTTTATGTCCATTTAGTCTAAAAATAAAAACTGGGAGCTTATATTTTGAGTGCTTTTTTATTTTTCCAGTAATTCTTTTTATTGTATTTTACAAAATATTAGTCTGTGCTGGGTTGGTTCTTTACTGAGAGCCTTACAGGAGCACTGTTCTAAATTGTTCCTGTTTGCTTGGAGTTTGTATACTTTCTTCTGACTTAATGCATTTAGAATCCTTACAGATATAAATGGATCTAGGTTTTGTTCAGAAGATTAAGTGAGCTAATATATGGGCAAGTGCCTCACCCAGGAGCGGGCAGTGAAGTAGATGGAATCTCAGCCTTGCTTATAGGCACCTGCCACGTGCTGACCTTCCATAACATGCAGAGAATGACCCATACTGCTCCCTCCCACCTAAAGTTCTGTTTGCAATTATGGCCCCACTGACAGCATCCCCCTCCTTCTTGGTCACTGTTTTCATCCTACCCAAAGGTCACTATAAAGAAGGCTCAAGATGAATGTGTGTGATCTTCTGAATCTCAAAGCCAGTCTTTCCCTGAAAGCTAGGCCTGGACAAATTGCACAGACAGACAATAATCCCAGGTCTACTCTTAGCTCAGTAACAAGGTGCTCTTGAATAAATCTCTTCCCTTTCTGGACTTCTCTTTTCACTACCTATAAAATGAAGCCAAGGCTGCTAAAGCTGAACATCACACACTCATGACCAACAATTTCAAGTCTAGGCTATGAGTATATTTAGTGCACCCAGATGCATGCTGTAGGAAGCCCATGGCAGCATGACTGTACTTAAATGCCTAACAGTTGAATCAATAAACAAATTATAACAGTGTAGCATGGAGAATGCTTAATCTTCAGCTATAAGCAGAATGGGAATGTATCTTACAACATAGTATTGAGTGAAAAGAAAAACAGATACAAAAGAGTTCGGACTGTATCGTTTTATTTATCATATAAATTCCAAAGCAGACAAAGTAAATCTCTGATACTGCCACTTGGGATAGCAATAAGCTTTGAGAGGGGCAGTGATTAAGTGGGGTGCATGAGGGAGGCTATTGGAGTGAATGTTCTGTTTCTTGATCTGAACTCTGGTCCCATGAATATATTCACTTTAAAAATTAATGGACTGTACACTTGATAGTTTGAGCAACCTTGTGTACATTGTAATTCAATAAAGACAATCACTTATCACAAAAATGATCAATTTTAAAAAGAAGGCATGGGACTAAATACTCTATAGGATCCTTTTTACTTCCATGGACCCCTTCTCTAACTCCCTGGGTAGTCCATGTTAATTGAAAGTTCACAGGTTCTCAATTAGGCCAGTCCTGCCCCAGCCCTTCCTATAAGAGGTCTTATTTCTAGCTAGTCTTCTGCTACCCTCAGCTAACCTGCAACACTCCTGTCCCAGTGCTGTTATGTTGTCCTTCTTCAACAATTCCAGCTGTTGGGCTTTTGTGATTCACAAGGCAGGATCATGTAGTGGTCAGGATATGGGTTCAAATCACCACTTTGCAGTGGTATCTGTAAATATTTATGCAAGTTGTTTAAGCTCTCTGTGGCTTTGTTTTTCTCATTAAGATGAATATTGTTATGGTTTATGTCTGGATGTCCTCCAGAAGTCTCACGTGCTCAAAGACAGAGCTCTAAAAGGTGGCTGGATTATGGGGGTGCTATAGCCAATTGGGATGTTAGGAGGCAGGGTCTGGTTGGAAGAGGTGGATCACTGTGGCTGTGACCTGGAAAGGTTTTATCTCCCACCTTCCCTTAATACTCTGTTTCCTTGTCTGCCATGCTTTGAGCAGCTCTCTTCTGCCATGCCCCTCCTGCTTAGGAGGAGTATGCACTGAAATGGGAGCCAAAGGTATTGCATCTCAGTGACAAGGATAGGGACTAAGACAAATACTCACCATATAGGTTGTTAGGAGGAATAAGAGAGTTAGTAAAAATAAAATACTTAGCTCAGTGCCTGGCACATAAGTCTTTGCTCAATAGGTGTTGGTTACTAGTATTGCACTGTAACTCATAAATGATATTACCATCACCTCCATCTATGGACAAATAATTTGAAACTCAGTTTAAATAACTTGCTGCAGGTCACAACATAGCCATTAACTGAGAGACTGATACTATAGGCCTTAGCATCTCTTTTCCCTAATGTCTCCAGAATGAGACTGTGATTTCAGATTATAGTAGAATAGATTATGATTTCTAGCAAGGTGCAGTCACATAACTAACTTCTGGCCAATGAGACACAAGAAAAAGTATCAAGTGGCAGCGAAAAAGAGACGGCAGATGGATATTCAACTTCGTTCAGACGAACAGTCCCACTGAGCATGACCAGAAAAGCTGGACAGAATGTAAAATAAATCTGCTGGAGACCACTGGGAAAAGCAATGACATTTATACAACCAAGATCTTCAAGGCCAAGGAGGAGTCCCAGATAGCAAACCTGTTATTTGGGGATAAATTTTCCCTGAGGGCATCTACCAGTCTCAGGAGAGGAAGCTGAGAAGTTGAGAGGTCAAGCAGGGCAGTTGTGACTCTCACATGATAAATGGACAAAATTACCACTAAATGGGAGGAGGGTGGGGGGGTCCCAGGAAGCTCCCCCTTGCTTTGATCTGGAACTCTAAAAACAGTCCACTCCAATTGACAAAGACAAAATAAAGATATTTTTAGTTTAAAAAAACACACACATACACTGAGCATTGTCAATAGTTGAGTCAAACAAAAAGGAACATTAAAGTATATGGCAGAAGGAAAAATCATCCCAGACAGAAGCTAGGAGACACAGAGAAGAAAAAAGAACAAATAAAAAGGCAATATCGTGGGCAAACCTAAAGGCACCATAACTACATGCGACAACAGCAAGAACGTCTTATAGGCTTTAAAAAAATATACAAACCGAATTAAGATACACAAAAGCAGAAGCATTCAAATTGGGAAGTGGGTAAATGAAGTTAAATGTTATAAGGTCCAGTCATTGTCTGGAAGGAGGACGAATAACAAATTGATATTGGACTTCGGTAAATCAATCATGTTGTAATCTCCAAGGTAACCATTAAAAGGACAGAGTAAAAGAGTGACTGTAAGTATGAGGATAACGGAGGGGGGCGATTGGTGTCTAGGAGCTCCATTCAGACCTATTTCATCATTTAAATAAAGGGTCTGTATTTGTTATATAGCTGCCAACTTTTCTTTTGCATTGTTTTGTTTTTAATGAACTGTGTGATTTTTTTATTGTATAGCTCAGGGTAGCAGTAAACCAATCACCCCAAACAAAATTAAGGTAAAACTCACATGGCTTTCACTAGGGAAAGTTGTCTTGCACAGATGTGAATGCCATCGTGATGGGTTGTGTCCACTAAAGAAGAGATGCAGAGGTCCTAACCCCAGGACTTGAGAATGACCTTCTTGGGCAATAGCATCCCTGAAGATGTGATTGGTTGATGGAATAGCACATCAGGTCATTCTGGAGCATGGTGGGCTCCCAACCCACTATGACTGTGCCCTTAGGGAAAGAGGAAAACTTTCTCACAGACTAAAGACCACAGGGAGCCACACAGGAAGGAAGTTCCTTGACTTAAGGCGTCATGCTGCCTTAAGTCAAGGAACGCCTACCAGAGGCAAGGGGGGCGGTCCTCCCCTAGACTATCCAGGAAAGATGCCTGGAGTTTGGACTTCTAGCTTCCACAACTGAAGGAAAAATGATTTCTGCTGTTTTAAACCACCCAGCTCATGGACCTTTGTGACAGAAGCTCTAGAAATCTAACAAAGCATCTAAGGGACAAAATGGCAATCTCTCACTATAGTGAGGGTTTTACAAAAGCTCTGGATGGATCCCAATCACTAATCAGAGGCTCTTTAACCACATCAAAGCAGGAGAGGAGAAAGAAGCCTACAAGAGCTCCTTTGGGACCTCTTTGATCACTGAAAGCAAGGGGTGCTCTCAGGATGAAAGCAATCTGAGAGATAAAAGGCCCCCCAGTAAGCGTCTTAGGTGAGATGCCCATGGGACATGCTATGGGAATGCTGGGGTATTAGTGGTGACCTTTGAAGACTAGCATGCCAGGGAGCATGTCCTCCAGGAGTCCTACTTGCTCCAGCAGAGGTGGCCCAGATGGCAGGAGTGGATGGAGGAGCAAGGACTTCTCTTGATGAGCAGGCAAGGATGAAGGTAGAAGACCTCAGCTTTAGCTGGTGACAGGGTGGCCTGAGATGAGATGTTTTTGAGGGTCACACAGGGTGATGCCACCCCAACAGCCTGAGAACCAGCTAGTGGGGGGTGGAGGGAGACCTAAGTTATTTGAAACAGATGATTTGCTTATCTGTACTTCCAAGTCTTCTAATAAACTGCAGATTCTGGTAGAGGAATTTCTTCCCTTGAGCATAATAGCTGAGCATCAGCTACAGAGGCACAGCCTTAAAACCATTTAGCTCCTTCCCGAGGCATGTAGCAGAGGAATGGAGACAAGCCAAGGAACAGGAGAGGAGATAAGCTTTTAAAGTCAGAAGGAATCCTGTGGGGGCCACTTACAGTACAGCCAGGCAAGGGAGAACACCGGGGGTGCTTGGGATTTCACTGGAGTCTGGTGCAGGCCACTGAGATTACACCTGGAGTCTTGAGTGCCCACTCCCCTGCCCCTTTCCACGTCTGTGTGATCTGGGGATCCAGGCCTTCTTGGCACCTATTGTAACCATCCTCCTCCCCCACACCCTACCCCCAGACTTGTACGGCCTGCAGGAGTAAGCATCTCTGCTTCCATCTTTGGGGGAAGTGGGGAAGACTCTAAAGCTACTCAGGCCTCAGGTGTTTCCTTTTAGAGAGGAAGATTAGAAGGGTCACCTCTGGCAATGAGATGGGAGCATGTCCCCAAGGCCAGATAGGATCTCCAGGAAACACCAAAGTGCAGACTTGAAATACTGTCAGCCTGTAGGTATGCAAGAGGCTGGACATTTGGTCAGCAGAGGTCATTTCAGAGACTTGATCACCAGAGAGACTGACATTCTGACTTGGACAACAGCAGAGAGCGGGCAGTAATTCGAGGGACATGCTTCCTGGCCAGGTTTACTGCTTACGTCTGCTCTGGAGAATACTGTCCATCCTGCTGAGATTAGAAATGTCATTTTTTGGTTCTGCTGTTGGGATCTGAACAGCTCAAAATTCACCACCTGTCATTCCAACTGTAAAGGTACATTTTAGTTGTTCTCATTTTATTTTATTTTCCCATTTTAAAATTGGAACTGACACAGGTCAGGTTGCCTCTTGTAGGAACCCTAGAGAGAGGGAAGGACTGGGGTGGGGAATCATCTCATTTCACAGATGAAAACACTGAGGCACCATTGAGCTGACCCCCGCGACCAGAGAGCTGGAATTAGAGCCCTAGTCAGTGACAGTTTGTGGGATCGTGTTCAAAATGAGTACTGTGTACTTACTGTATGTGTTTTTTTCTCGAGTTTTTGATGCATACACGTCCTAGTATTCTGAGAACAGGAAGGGAACTGGAGTCTTGCGCCAAGGGTGTGTTTGGAGATGGTACCCAGTACCAGGCTGTTCGAGTGTCACACAGAACCACAAGGGCTGATCCCTGTCCCCATCCTCCTGGCTCTTTTTTCCCCTCTGAAGTCTCTCTAGGGGCCCGCAACATCCACTTCACCTCATTTAGCTGGTCCCCACAAAACCCCCTTGGCCCTGTGCTCTTGAACCCCTGTCCTTAGGACCCGGATGTAAGTCTGTAGCACCTGCCGCTTCTTTTAGGCAGAAGCATCCCCCAGAGATCATCACTGTGTCAAGAATACTTGGTCACTCTGGATAAATCAGGGGAATCTCCCTAGAGGATCACCGTACTGAAAGCTTTTTGTGAGATGTGGCAGAGTTAGGTTAGTTGTTTTGAAAAATTATTTTCATGGTATGGTATATATAAATGCAGCACAGAAGGAAACATAAAATACCATGTCAGAGTGGCAGCTTTGGCTTCTCTCCCCAGGTCAGCCCTGAGCAAGTGGGGAGGCTGGCAATGGGAACCCCTCCAAAGGAGGAAGGGAAGGAGCAGGTAACACAAGGCACAAGAGCCAGGTCATGCATCCTGGTGGTCAAGGACGCAGGCTCTTGGGGCCAGTAGTTGGATCCAGTCACTACTGTGGACCTTGACTACCTTAGATAAGTCCCAGAGCCTCTTTGTGTCTCCTCTAAAACCGGGGATAAGGCTTACACTAAAGAATGCTGCTTTCAGGACTCGATGGGATAATGCACATGCAGAGCTTATTACAGTACCTGGCGTGTGAGATGGCTGAACTCACAGAGGTTATCACTAGGAGCAGGTGCTTGCGGGGCTCCCCAGGACAGCTGTGATGCCACATTTTTTTTTTTTTTTTTTTTTTTTGCAGTGTTAAGGATCAAACCCAGGACCTTGCACATTCTTGTTTTTCTTTTTTTAAGTTTTTGAAATGTGCTGGAGAAAGAGTGAGCATAAAATTACCCAGCCTGCCCTGAAGGCTCAGTGATGGTGGGCTGCAGATACCAGCAGCAAGGCTGACAGTGTGCAGCTCTGGGAGCAGGAAGAGGGCTGATGAGCTGACCCAAGGAAAGCTTGCAAAGGTCCACGAAAGGCAGAGGGCTCTCCTTGCAGCTCCTTCCACCGCAGGCCAGTGTTTGCAAAAAGGAGCAACTGTATACATTTTTACTGATACTCTGTGGAAAGGCAAATCCTCTCAAATAATTGATCAGACAAAAGCTTTCAAGCAAGGGAGAGGAACTTCATGGGAAATGGTGAGAGCTCCTGGGACTGATCACTTGATTAACCCAAGTGGTGATTCTGGTGCATGACATGCTGCTCGCGCACTGGAGTTAAGAGCAAAGGCAAACTTGGTCCTGAAAGGGTGTGAATTAAAGTAAGCAGCCAGCTCTGTGCACAGGTGACTGTGGAATCCAAAACCAGGCTTCCCCAGGGAAGGAGAGGAGCGAACTGGGGCAGCTGGGCTAGAGCAGCCCTCACCCCTCCCTTTCTCCATCTCTGAAAATAGCTTTCTTTGTTGAGAGAATGCATCTGAGGTGAGCGTCTGGGCTCCTCCTCCATTGGGATCGATGGGAAGGGATTCAGGTAAGTCCTTCCAGGTGCCCACGGATAATAAAACAGCCAATGTTAATCCATAGACTCCCACATGAAACCAAAGCTTAGCCCAGGTTCTTTCAGTGAGAAGAGAGAGATGAAATGGATGCCGCCCTCAGAGAGGCCAGACCAAGCCCACTCGAACATGTTTTGATTCCTGAGACACAAAACCGTTTACTTTTGGTTCACTTCAGTTTTTAGAGTGGTGCACATATAATACATTTCCATCTACATGAATAGCTCCCGATTGTGGGAGCACATTAATCTTTTACAAGCTACTCAGCAGTGAGGTTAGAAGATAAACAGTCAGTGAAATCGTACACTTTCCCCTGCGCATGAACCTTCTGAGGACAATTTGAGCTCCCCACCTCCAGTGACTGCCACTCTCTCCGCTCATGTGGTGGCCCCAGCTGCCCCCTGCCACCTCTGCCCTGCCGAGGTAGTTCTCTGATCAACCACCTGGGTGGGGCATGCTGCCATTTTCAGTTTGGAAGAAAAAGCCTGTAAATCTGCTTCCTGGGAAGAGAGACACTGCTGAATTGTCATTTGCCTCCCGAATGCAGAAAACATCAATTTCATTGCAGCTCATCAGAGTTGGAAACACCTGCTACTTCCTTTCTCAGTTGCAATTAACGTGCTGCATCTCCGCATTGATTGATTCCAAGCAGCCTAACACTGCCAAAGTCAAGGTTTAAATGAAACAGTACAATCTGATATTATTTTTCACAGTTTTAGAAACACGAACTTATTTTCATTGCCAAAGAAGCACTGCGATAGTGAGGGATGTAAGTCTTTATGCTTGACATAAACGTGAGTAGAATAGATTGGTGCCTATAAAAAAAAATAGTTTTCTATCTTTGGATTGGAGGGTGGTTGTTATTCTTGATCTTTGTATTTCTTAGGAGATGGAGAGGAGGATTAAAATTCTTTGTTTCTCAGCATCTAGCACAGGGGCTAGCGGAACCCCAAGGGCGCAGAATGATAAATAAGTAGATCGATATATGATTGCTTTGGGAGAATACACTTGAGAACTGTCCTCTTGGTCCAACTTATGTAAAATTTGGAGCTTATAACTATCGTAAGCCCTTTGGATTAGTGTGGAAGGTATGGGGAGACTGACTATGAAATATAACTGAAGGCTGGGACTTCATGTTCTATGCAGACTCCTAAATTGTTTGACCTTCACCATCTTCACTGTGCTCTTTTATGGGGCAGTGAAGGCTCTGTCCATTTTCATCATAATCCTGCTAAGGCTGCATGCAAAGAAAGTGTCTTCAAAATGTATGGCATCTTACATTTTGAGGGTCTTAAACATTCTCTGTTGTAAGGAATGGAATCATTTTAATTAGCTCAACAGCCATATTTGTGTACTTTGGGGAATGTCACTTAAATGGTTTGTATGTACTGGTAAAACAGAAAGCTAGCATAAGTACAGAACTGTTAAGTAGGAGGCTTATGTTTTCTACTTGGCTAGATAAGGTTAAACCTTAAGCCCCAAAACATACTCTGTGGGAGAAAGTAAACAAATTGTATTAATAGACGATAGGGCCAAGAACCCTGACTTGTTGGTCCTCTTGAGAGAATCTTTTGTGGCTGAAAATATGACAAAATAAGTGGTGATTGATTCTTTTGGACAATAACAATCCAGACATCACCCACTGGAGCAGCCTCTGTTAAATGTATGCAAGCATCAGATAGTGTACTTTCACCTAACTGGCTGAAAGGGCTGGATTTGAGTACTTCCAAATGTTCTAGAAGGAAAATTGAAGTTATAGATCTCTTTCTTAAAATGAGTTAACATTACTGTGAATTATACTCTTATTTTTAAAGTCTGAATGGCTGAAAATATTATTCTGACCATTGCCACCCATCTTTAATACTATACAACTGACTGCTCCAAACATCTGTATTAAGTAGCTTATGTTCCAATATTTTAGTACTAACAGATCCTCTCCAACTTATAACACAGAAGGCAGAATTACCAGGAAATCATTATCAATTGCCACTAAACACACAAATAAATAAAAATTGATAAACAGAAGTGCTATAACTTTCCTAGGTAGGTAGATAGAAAGACGATGCCACATATTTCCCAACGATAGAATTCCCTAGTAATAGACTTCAAGGCACTAGAAGACCTGATTCTTAGAAAAGAAAGAAGAGGAAAAGATAAGGGAAAGAAAAAACTACTGGCTCTGGAGCTTAGGGTTTGCATGCCATCCAAAAAGTTGACTAACTCAGGGGAAGTCCGTATACATCTTTCTGGCTTGTCAGCTGGCCAGATGTTGTGGGCAGACAGCATCTCAGAAGTGCTTCCTGGGTCAACTTATCTGGAGAGAAATTTGGTCTCCAGTCAGAGTCAACTGTTGCCAAGCACTAGTGTTGAATGACACATTTAAACACTTGCAGAAAGGAGTGGCCAAATGTGCAACAAAGAGTTCTTTGGTCTCTCTCTTGTCCATAACAGACTAAATCTTCAAAGGATCCCTCCGGGGGAGAACAATCAAATATTTTATGACAACACATCACCACTTGAAATTTTCTCTTCTTTGGTCCCCATCTGCACTGTCAAAACACCCCGGGAAGCCCAGTGTGTCAGCTCACAAACTCCACCCACCAGCTGTCTGTGCATATTGAAAATGTCAGAAAAAGAAATCTGCGGCCCAAGTTGGGATTGCATAAATGGAGTAGCTCCCCTCGGCTCTTCCTGGAAGTCAGAGGTGGTTTTGTCCTTGTCCATCCGAGCACCTGGGCTGTCCTGGGAGAGGACAAAACCCTGCTTTGCTCAGCCGAAGACCAGGAGTACCAAGAAACCTCCCTCTCCTGGGCACACCAGTGTGTTCGTTTTTCCCACCGCAGCACCAACCTCGGCAATGTTTTCTCAACAAGTGAAAGAGTTTTTCTTTTCGCCATCACCAACACTTATTTTAAAAAGCCCTTCAACATTATTCATTTTCTAAAAGAGCTTATCATTATGCTCCAGGGGCCATGAGCAGAGCACGGTGGGAACAAAAAGCTCTCCTAAGCCAACAGGATTTGGTGAGAACTAGCAATCCTGCTGGCATGAAGTTAAAGCTTTATTTCTTTTTCCTTTTTTTAAAAAAATAAAATTAAGGCTCAAATGTTCTATAAACTCTCATTGCTTATGTATATTATATTAAGGCTTATAAATACACCTGGTAAATTAAATTCACCCTGGATTGAATTAACACCTGCTATATGAGTTATTTGCTTTATGTAATAAGTAATCTTGAGGTTTCTCCTCTTTCTCTGGAAACACAATTTAAATATTAACCTAATCTTTAAACTGCTGCTGCTGCTTTCTGACATTTGGAAACCGGTCATCCATGCAAAAAAAAAAAAAAAAAGGCAAATATGGATGTATTAATGAAAAGGCAGCTTCTTAAAAGTCTTAAAACATGTAACTCAATGGATCGGGAAGGAAGATGAGGAAAGCGGTGGGGAAGTCAGTCTTTGTGTCACTTTTTAGGGAAAACAATGCTGGTCCTTCGCCAAGAGCACCTCCGATCCCAGGGCCTGGCTGACGTCGGCTGCCGATTTCAAAACAGTCTTTGTGGTTTTTTTTTTTTTCGTTATAGTCTCTGGAAAAATCTTGGGAAGCTGTAGTACATATGAGAATTTTAATTAAAAATAAAAATCTCCACCACCCAAGAGGGTATCACTTCCGTTCCAGAATGAGGCAGTGTGGCATGCAGGCCCCGCCTCAGGGAGGGACAGAGGCATCTCATGTCCTGCTCAGCTGACAGCCCCTGGAGAAGACAAAGCTTTCAAAGTGCTGGTCTTCGGCCTTTTCCTTGATGCGCTGCTCCTCCAAGGAATCCACGAGCTTGTCCCTTTGCTTAACCACTTGCATCATCTCGATGAATATTTCTTGCTCCTCATTAAGATCGTTCTCATCTTTCTGACTCTCTAAAGAAAAAAAAAAAGAAAAAAACATGGGGCCTCAGATGAGATTGGGCCCAGGAGGGTTCTGGGCATGAGCATTCTCCACTGTTAGGGACTTGTTTTACCCTTTAATTTCAATAGAGAAAACCAGGAAATGAATTTAACACCAAGGAACTGCCCTTCGAGGCACAGATGAGAAAGGAGGGTGCTTTGTGCAGCCGTCAGCTTGGATTTCACCTTGAGAATCTGTGCACAGGGATGGGGAAACCCCCTTTGTGCGCAAAGGAAATTAATATAGCCACTCCCCATCCAGTCTCCAACCTTCCCTCCCACCCCATAAAGACACCAGGGAAACAACGGAGAGGCTGTTTCCCATAAAAATGTTGAGAAAAGTTTCCCAGTGAAGTGTCTACATGAGTGGCTGCTATTGCAATGACAAAAATCTTTTTGTCATTTGTACTGAATGACAAATTGTAGCCTTTCAGGCAGAGACCACATGGGAGCCAAGTGAGGCCACAACTGTCCCTACTGTGCTAGGAAGGAAGTTTCTGGGTGGACTCTGCTTGTTACTGGCCTTTCCAAGTGGCCAGGCTTCTTCCTGATTGGCCCAGGGTGTCTGATTGTGTAGAGGGACAGGACTGTCATAGAAGGAAGGGAAAGCATGAGAAACAGATAGTAATGACTTTCGGATGATCAACAGGATTGCAAAGCCAGCTTCAGGTCTTGCCAACCAGGTGATTATGCTGGGAGAGGCATTCTACATTCCTTCCCTTCGGCCCCTCCATCTACACTCTGAGGATCCGCAGGAGCCCTGGCCCACTTAGAGAGGGTCCCACTGCCTCTCGCGGGGCATGGCTGCTGAGCCTGTATCAGGAAGAAAGTCGATGTGATAAGGCAGACGGGGCATGCCTGTCCCTTAGCACCTGGTGTTTTATGGGAGGGAGAGGAGAGGGGCAGAGAGCTCTGTGCTTTGGTCTCTCCATGCTGGGCCCTGGGTGCCCAAATGAGGCAGGCAATGTCTCACATCATTTGATGGAACACGGAGGGTGCAAAGACTCCTGTCCTGCCCCTTGCTGCATGCTGGGAAGAGGCCAGCTGGGAGGGCGCCCTCTGGGTCAACACGGGGCAGTAGCTGGTGGTCAGGCAGAGAAGGGTCTGAGGGTAGATCTCCAGTCTCCATCTGCTGTGTGTGGCACAGGAGGGACCCGAAAAGAGCCCCCCAGGCCTGATGTTGCCAGAGGTGGCTGCCGAGTGGGCCTGCAGCGAGCTCCCCTGTGCAGGAGTGCAGTGAGTCCACGTGGAGATAGCGTGGCCTCGCTGAGTGCAGGATGTGCTGAGGCGAACGCCAGCAAGAGAAAAGTCAGGCTATGGTGACACCAGCTGCACAGCGAAGCTGCATGTGCCAGCAGGAGAGTGGCAGCCCAGTGGTGGGACACGACTACTTGGGGACTCGGTGAGTCAGCGGCCCAGGCAGCACCTCAGCCACCAGCACACAAACTGCCTCTCCACTTTCCTGGTAGTCACCCTAGGGGAGAAACGCAGAAGGAAGCAGTGCATATCCTCAAGGCTGATTGTTTTCATCCCAGAGAGACCAAGTGTTTCCTATAAGGACTGTTTAAATCATTGCATCAGAACGGGTTTACCCGAGAGGGATGAAGAGTTCCTATTTTCTTCCTTGATAACTAGTGGGAGAAAGCGTGTGTGGAAGGTCAGCTCAGCCGGAGACTAAACTAAGAAGCTCCTTTTGGAGGAGGAGGAGGGTACATGGACATAAGAGAAGAGTGAGGCAACATGACCTGCAGGTCACAGAATTTAAAAAAGAGAGGCAATCAAAGGTGGCTAAGAGAGTCTTTGGCGGGGGGGGTATTTATTTTACTATTCTGAAACAAAAATTAAAATTTGGTATGAGATGTATAAGTCAGGTTCTACAAAATGATTTGTTAATGTAGGTATATTCCAGTATTGGTATTCCACATTTAATAGGCACCATAGAAAAATTTAAAAATTCCTCTTTTAGTTTAGGCTTCTCACAGATGGAGACACCTGAGATCCTTCTGACAAATAAAGGTGTACAGCACTTTTTTTTTTTTTTTTTTTGCAATGCTAGGAGTTGAGCCCAGGGGCCTTGCACTGTAGCACTAAGCTCTTCCTCAGCCCTATCACCTTTACCTGTCTTACACAGTGCGGCTCTATAAAGGATTTGTTATAAACAGCACTGTTGCTGTAAAGAAGCGGCCTGCAAATCACTTCCATATGGAGAAAAAAAACCCAGGAAACTCTAATTTGTGGTCTTATCCTAAATCGGAGCCCTACAATATACCTTGAACATATTATTTAGATTCTCTCAGACTCAGTTTTCTAAACTGAAAAGTGAGATAAAGTAAAGCATGATCACGATGTCTATTATTTGCTTTCCCTATACCGGGCAACCTATGAAGGAAGATGTAATGTTAGTTCTATGAGCTTGAAAGGCATTATTTAACTGGTTCTTTTAGATCTAGGTCTAAATGTAGGGAAGTCACCCACAGATCTGACTCACAAACACATAGGCACAAAACATTGTGAATATGTTCCAGTGGCTGGAACCAATGGATGGATGATTCAGTATGTCAGGGCAACAGAGTTCCTTTCCATCCTTCTTCCTTCAGGGTAGAATGGTTTTCTCAAATCAACGCCCTGTCCCAGCCCATCTCTAATGCCTGGCAGAACCAGGCCTACCCTTCCCTGTGTTCCCAGGCCCACGCTCCTCCGTGTTCCTAAAGCACCTGTGACAGCCCATTCTTGGCAATAATGAGTGGTCTGGGTGTTGGTCTCCCCAGAGAGGTCACAGACTCCCAGAGGGCAGGGGCTGCTCTTTACCATGTGCAGGCTCACACTTGGTTCTCAATAGATGTTGGCTAAATGAATGGATGCGAAAGTGAATAAGTGAATCAAAGGCTTTGTCCCTACTGGCACGTGGGATAGAGCAAAATGCTGCTCTCCCTGCCCAAGTGAGTGAAGCTCCCTGGGGACTTTTGTATCTGTGGAGATGAACCAAGCTGGCTGGCTTTGTACGTCCTCTGACTTTCAGGCTGCTGGGTCAGGCAATGCAGGAGGAGCACTCCCTTCTGGGATCACGGCATGCTCTGTTCAGTGTCCTTGTAGAGGGGGATGACTTCAACAAGGGTCCCCAAAATATCACCATACTCACCCTCTTTGAGCATTTTCTCTCTTAATTTCTGCTCCAGTCTACTTTGATGATCTTCTAATTCTAGTTGCTGAGCCCTGGGTATGAGAAAATGTCCCAACTGTAAATACGAGCAATTTATGTAGAAACACTGAAAAAGATGCCCATTAACACTAACCATAGCATTTTTTCATTATTAAAACAAGGACCCTGGAATCTCTCTAAGTGGAAAGTCTTGCCGCTGCTGGGATCCCTGGAGAGGCCCAGGGAGATTGCTGAGATAGGATGGGCTCAAGACACAGTGGAGAGCAGCAGAAAGCTGGGATGTGATGGCAGCAGGCTCTGGGAAGGCCATAGATCCCCCCACAGGGACAGGCAGGAGGGAGGCAGAAGAGTGAGGAAGGGACTGGAATGGTCCAAGGAAGAAAATATGACCATTTGAAGCTCTTTTCGCTTTTAGATACACTATGACTTCAAGAATCACCTCTGATAACTCCCAAATCTTTAGTTGTGGTCAATAAGAAGGCCAAAAGGAGGAAACAAAGTGAGACACATTGTCCAAATGCAGTCAATAAAACTTAGGCACTGATCCAACTTGCTGTCCGAAATTCAGTGAGGCTTTGGAGGAGCCAAGCTTGAGTACTTGGAACTCTATTTTCACTGCAAGGAACAGCAGCATCAAGTTTGTCCTCAGTGAAGGCCGGCAGGAACCTAAGTTTTCAGTGTCTGGGATTGCACACTTCCATCCCAGCGTGTGGTCAGCTTCCCATGTGCCAGCCCAGGGGGCTGTGCTGGAGAGGCTCCCAAATGCTGCTCCGGAGCTCTCAGCAGGAAAGAGGACCCACACAGATGTGGCAGTGTGAAGAGGTGATAGTTGAAGTCATATGAGGGCACTAAAAGACAGACTGTACAGAAAGAAGCAATTTGAAGAAAGAATCTTTGGGATTATTTCAAACAAAAGAGAAGGAGCCAGGAATGAAGCAACTAGAAGACTGGAAGGACACAACAATAAATGCAGCATCCCAGAAACCAGGAAAGCAAAGTTGGAGAGAAAAGAGCAAAGTCAAGGGTGAATCATTGTGTGAATCGCTGTGTAAGTGCTCAATAAATAGTAGAATACTCCAGGCAGCCCCTGGGTTCTTAAGATGAATAAATACATGCCTAATGCAAGGAATTGATGCTAACTTGTTTGGAGAAATAGACTGTCTCTTCTCCTCCCATCTCCCTTCCCCCATCTCCCCTCCATTGCAGAGGCTGAGGGCTGAGAACAGGCTCTGGGTTTGTCCTGCTAGGGCCCCCCAATCTCAACCTGCATTGCTATACCCCGTTGTTGTCATTATTGCTACTACTTCTTATACTGCTTGGGTCAAGATTTCTGTCCTGTTCAATATCCAGCCTTTTGTTACCGACACTGAACTTCATGTGGGCTTGGGGGAGCCTGTGGAGGTACACTGCTCTCTAGGAGGAGCGTAGTGAGCTGAAGGCCTCTGGAGTCCAATTCACCACCACGCTGAGGCCCTGCTCTCCCCAGCCAATGACAGTTCAGGTGAGGAACACAGAGCCGTGCGCTTCCTGTCCAACATGTAACTCCTCCGGTGGGCACTCTGTTCTGACGCTCCTATTGACCCAGTGCACTCTTCTGAGAGCTGTACTGCTTCTGGGTTCCTCCTACCTCTTCCTCTCCTTTGATAGGAATCAGAACTTCAGTGGGGTCTGAAAACATCCCTCTTATTCTCCCTCCCCTTCCTCTTTGTCCAAGTGTCTCCCTCAGTGAATCTCTTATGCCTTTTCCTCTGCCCTGGCATCCCCTTCCCCAAAGGATCGAAACTGACCCATCCAAGACATCTCTCCTTGTCCATCCAGGTCTTTCTCTAAGATGAAACCTGTTCTTTATTAGAGCTCCTCCTACCTCTCTGTAGTGCCCATAGCTGCATCCTCCTATTTGATATCATTTGGAGGAGAGAGTCCTCTGATTTTGGGGGGAGGCCTTTGGCCAACAGCAACAACTGGTCTCCCTGACTCTCTCAGGCAGACCTTGTGAACTGATGCTCCCCTAAACCTCTGTGGAGCTCCCACCATGTGTTCTTATTACCACTGCAGTGTCTCCACCAAAACCACTGGACTCCCAAAGACAGGGACCGTGGCCTTGTTCATATTTGTGCAGAACCCAGGGTAGTTTCTTTTTTTTTTTTTTGGTTTTTCTCCGGTACCGGGAACTGAACTCACGACCTTGCGCTTGCCAGGCAGGCACTTTGCCGCTGAGCTAAATCCCCAGCCCCCAACCCAGGGTAGTTTCTGGCACACACGCTTGGTAAATTTCTGTTGAACTTTATAAGTCAGACCTTCCCCTGATATAGACAGTATGCCTGTATAAAAAGGGCTTTATAATCAGGAGGGTGAGAAGAAATTACTTGGTTGCTCTGAATCTCAGTATGTGCATCGACTTAGAAAATAGTAGCAGAAGAAACGATTCTTGGAAAAGACCCCTTCTTCCCTGCTCCTGGCGGTCTCTTCCACGATGATGGAGCTCAGTGAGTGTGACTTGTGGCCTTTTCCCTCCAACCTACCTGCCTTGCTCTCAGGTAAATTTAGGAAAAACAGATTAGGCACTCTCAGCTCGAGTCTCCCAGTTCCCCCCAGGCTCAGCTTGTCCTCGGCAAATACATATTCTCAATTGTTTGAGTTGTGCACAGGTCTTTGGTGAGGTTTCTCAACTTTGACGCTATTGACATTTTAGGCTGGATAAATCTTTGTTGGTGGGAAGAGGGGACTGTTTTGTGAATTGTAGTATCTTTGGCATCTGTAGCATCCACTCACTACATCCCAGTAGCAGACACTGGGCATGACATCCGAAAGTGTCTCCAGACACTGCCAAATATCCCCTTGGGCACTGGTGGCGAACTTATGGCATTTGCTCTGCTGCACCAGGCTATCTGTGTCATTGATGGACCTAAAAGTTTTGCCTTCATTGGCCAAGGGACGGTGCTCTGGGTTGAAACCTGTGAATCTAGGAGAACAGCTCTGCTCCTCTCCTAAGGAGCAAGTAAGTCCACTACCTTTGAGGTAGATTATAGGTCTAATTCTGGGATTTATAGCAATAGGTTGAATGGGGACCCTCACACCTCCTATCTAAAAACTGTGAATGTGATGTTATTTGAAAAAAGTCTTTGCAGACATAATAACGACTTTGCAATAAGTCAATTCTAGGTTATCCCAAGGATTCCCAAGCTCAACAACAATTGTCCTTAGCAGAAGGGGGTGCAGAGACAGAGAAGGCTATGTGAAGACAGAGGCAGAGACTGCAGTTATGCAGCCACCAGCTAAGGAATGCATGGAGCCAAGAGAGTGGAAGAGGCGAGGACGGACTTCTCTCTCTCGAGCTTTGGGACGGAACACAGCTCTCTCAGCACCTTACTCTGGACTTGTGGTTCCAGCAGTGAGAATATAAGTTTCTGTTGTTAGCCACCCACTTTGTGGTAATTTGTTATTGCAGCTCTTAGGAAATCAATGAAGTCAGCAAGCCCACCTGGGCTCTCATACTTAGCCAACTTCGCCATTATTAACACTAGAGGTGATATTTTGACATTCCAGGCAATAATAAGATATTCAAGTGTCTTATTTCTCACTGCTTTAGAACCCAGGCAGGGGAGAATAATAGAACTTATCAGATACCCTTAAAAGTACCCTAGGTTACCTGTCAAGGTTGTGGTGGAGACAAAATGAAACTGCATGAATGAAAGATCCCAGCATAATTTCTAGGGCTTGGTTGGTTTACACTAAATGTTATTTTCTTTCCTTTCAGGATGGTGACAGCTATAGTGAACTTTAATTTTTCCAGAAGAATGTGGCGAGGTCTTTCTGTACTTTCTGACCTCCCAACCAGGCTGCAAGCCCTCATGCAGAGAGGACAGACAGACAAACCTCAGTCCTTCGATCTGGTACAACTACAAGAAGTGGTCAGGCAGATCCCATGATCCAATGCGAGGCCAAACACAAGCTTCCCCATTGTAGGTGTGCAGCTGCCTTCTCCACAGACCTGGGAGATGAGGATGGTCTGAATGCCCTCCAGCTCCTGACCCAGTCAGTTAAATCTATTTCAGCCCCAGGACTCCACAGAGAGAACCGACAACTGAAGATTCTACACGTTAATGCCAGCATGATATGCAAGTCATAAAATATCAATTTGCCTCAATCACTATTCTGTATGCACAAAAAAGAAAAAATCCTGGGACTTCAAACCAGGAGGATGACCCTCCCACACACACACCAGCCTTTTGCTTTTAGGACTCACTGTTATCTGTGTTGCCTTACTTACATGATCAGTAGCTCCGACTCATATCGCATTAATTTATTCTTCTCCAGGACCAGCTTAAACCATTCCTGCAAAAGCTGTGCTTCATCCTGTGTCCCTGAATCTGCTTAAGAAATCAGTGACAAATGGGTTAGATTGGCGTTTCTCTCCCCACAATCAAACTGCTTTGGAGCCACTTTAGCTAGCCATGTTTGTGGCAAGAAGGGCTCGGCAGGCAGCCGCTCCCTGGTCCCCTGTTGACACCTCAAGGTCATGAACATGAGAATGAAAACCTCCTATGTGCGCTCGGGAGGGGGGAGGCAGCCTTCCCGGACTTTTTGGGAATGACTAATTCAGCCCAAGGTTATGTCCTTGGTAACGTTCTGTCACGAAGAACCTTTTCCTGTCCACTTGTCTGACTTCTGTGAAACCTGTATGTGTGTACAGGTGCACCTTCCCCCCAGAAGACCCAACTGATGGTTACTATCGCCTTCCTTTTTTTCTCCCCTGAGTCAAATGCCTATTCATGAGGCAGGGAAGCTCATACCACTGCATTTGCTCATGGGACTGGTGACTGACATTTTGATTTTTTTTTTCCCCTCAAATAAAAGCCAAAGGATGCAAAAAAATGCTATTAGCCTTTAGTCTCATAAGGAGATACTACTTCACAGATACTCAATGTTAGACACTAAATGTTTAGATGTTAATATGTTAAAATCTGGGTTTATTCAAGAAGATGCCACATAGTGGTGGCTTCCTAATGCCATACCCTGAAATGAGAATGCATGCTGCCACACAAAGGTCTCTACCATCCTAGAAGGATTTACGTCGAAGGGGAAACAATACAGACAGATTTGTGTGACCTCAGGCAAAGTGTTTAACATTTCGGATCCTCTGCTTCTGCTTCTTCATTGGCTAAACTAGAATAATAAGACACGTGTATAATGAGGTACTATTTACTGTGCTGCAATTTGAGGCCAGTGGGCTGGCTGCATGTGCCTTATAGGCAACATTTCATTGAACTCTCACAATAAGCTCACCAGTAGAATCTCTTATCATCACCACTTGGATAGCTGATGGAATGGAGCTTTGAAAGATTCATGTGACTTGCCGAAGTTCACAGTTAGGTGGCAGAGCTAGGGCTTGAACTCAACTATATCTTATCCTAAGCTATGACTTTCACTGCTAGAATTATCTTTGTCTCCCTCTCTCTTGGTAGTCAGGTAACGTAAATAAAACCTCTAAAACATTGTCTTGCTCATTACAAATAACCAAAAGCAATTTGTTTCTTTTTTCCTCCCTGTCTTTTTGACCACACTTTACTGGAAAGGTGTTATGGCTTGTGCTTGTATGTTCCTGCAAAGCCACATGCACTCATGGAGTGGGCTTTTAGAGTTTTGATTCTTGGTTGTGAGTGCTACATTGCTCCAAGGCAGGTAGTTTGCATATGTAAGGAAGAGGAAGAGGCTGTTTGCTGCCATTCTTTCTTTCTTGCTGTTGTTGTTTTTTGTTATCTTTGCTGCCAGGCACAGTTGCCCTCTTCCATGTGCCACTCTGCCTTGGAACCAGCCAAGTATGGACTGAAACCTCCACAGACTGTGAGCTAAATAAACCTTTCCTTCCTTAATTTTGGGTGTCAGGTTTTTTGTCTCAGCAATGAGAGAAAAGTAACCGAGACAAAAGGAAACTGGGGCCCAGTTATATGCAGTGTCCCAAATTGTATATTTCAGGGACAAACTGGTCCTAGAATGTAGATCTTAACTTCTGGTCTATTCCTTCATTTATTCACTCACTCACTCATTCATTCATTCAGTAAGATGTATTTATTAAATATCTTCTATGTGTTGGGTCTTGCCTTTGGGACTATGATACACCGTCATGTTACTTATTACAAGAAATTTGGAGGTATTAAGACAGATAACCTACAAAAATATTGTGAGATAATCTTTTGGACTCGATGGACTCCAAGTGGTAAGATAAGAGAGAACATTAGAAAAGGGTCACAAGAAAGCAATAAAAAATCACCCTGGAAATACAGAAGAGGCAGGGTCTTCTTGGTTGAGGCACAAACTAGGGTTTAGACTCCAATGCTGAAGAACAGACAACCTGGGCTGGGGATATAGCCCAGTGGAACAAGCACTTGCCTGGCAAGCTTAAGGTACTGAGTTTGATTCCCAGGACTGGAAAAGAAAAAAAAAAAGTAGACAACTTTTGGGAGAAAATAATGAAGACAGAATAATGTGTTTTCAAGAAGAGGGAGCAACATGAGAAAAGACAAGGAGAACAGAAAGAGGATGTGAATTGGGGAGGGTAAGAAGGCACAGAGGTGAACCAGGAAGCCTGAGAATTTAGGACTATCTCAGTGCAAAGGTCCTAAAAGCCATGCTAAGGCATTTAGACTTCATGTAGAAAACAAAGGGACAGTAAAGGAGGAGGAGTATGCAGAATATGTGAGATTTTACATGAGGAGGACTCAAGGGGAGAGAGAAGGGAGGAAAATATGATGCTATTCTTTCTCAGGTTTCATGAATGAATGAATGAACTTATAAGCACACTGAGTGCCGATGTCTTCTAAGCATTGTTTATGGTGCTGGGAGACATGAATAAATAAACATTTGTTCCTGCTCTTTGGGAAAGCGGAACCTTGCAGTCCACTGGGGAAAACTGGTCCTACATGGGTAAACAGAACTCAACCTGTGCTTGCTGTGGGAGCACAGGACAGAGGCATTGAGACGTGTAAGAAGTGAGGAGGCTGCAGGCAGGCTCAGTCTAAATGGATGGATAAGAGTCTGTCAGTGACAAAGGTAGGTAAAATACAAGATGTTCAAAGATAGTAGTGGAAAGAATGAAGTGTATATCCAGAGATCAGATGCAACAGAGAAGTTAAGAGCATATACTTTAAACTCAGACTTGGAATCAGACTTCTACCTATCACTACATGGGCTTGGATAATTACATGTAGCCTCCCAAGCCTTAGTATTCTCATCTATAGTAAAACTGAAATGGGTTTACACACTCAAAACTCTCAGCTCAGTCCTGGCATAGTATAAGCTCGTTAGATTCAGTCATATAATGTATGTGACAGAACGATGCTCAGGGGTCAAGGCATCAGTGCAGAAATTCCTTCCACCCTCCATGTCTACTGTAATTCTCCATGTGATGAGAGAGCTCGCTGCTGTCCAGGGAGCCTTCTTCATAGGTATGTAATGAAGGACTGAGGATTTCTTTTCACTGACCATCAGTGGGTTGGCTGCTACCCACTGATGCCAGTTTTTTCTTCTGAGAACAGAGAACATATCACTATTTCCCATGACAGACCTTCAGATGCTTGAAGACAAGTCTTATAATTCACTGAAGCTAGTTTTTTTTTTTTTTTTTCATAGTTAGCACCTCTGGGTTATTTATCATGTTGTCAGATGAAGACTGCTTGCCTTCCCTTTCCCTCTAATTTTCCATAATATATCTTAAAAGAGAGTCCAGAATGAAATAAAATGTTCCTGAGTAGACAGATGCTCCCATCCCTTCACCATCCCTTCTGTTTGGCAGACATCATTCCTGGGCTCTTATTACCCTGCAAATGAACTCTGGTCTTTCCACAATAGTGCTGGTGAAGTGGTAGTTCATGTTTTATTTGTGCAACTGATCTTTTTCTTAACCTAGTTCAAGACTTAATATGCATCTTGTTAAGTAACATCTTATTTTGTCCCATTACAGGCAAATTGAATATTTTATCTAACTGACACATTTTTCTAAACTGGGATTTCTGCAGAATTGAAAGGGTATCCTGGACCTTGGTGCGATATTGAGAAACAAAATGTTAGACAGGACTGAACCAAGAGTAGAGGCATTGCACCCATCATCAGAGACCTTTCTCAGCCTTTGGATGAAGCTGATTATAAATATACCTAACTAGTATCCTGCAGCCTACATGACCATATCTTGTTCAGGAGGCTATTATAGGCACTTCAGACAACAAAGTAATTTCCTCAAATCAAGCTCCAAAATATCTGCTATGTTTGTTGACACTACAAACTGAAACTCCACCCAGAAAAAGAAATGCCATTTATTTTTTTCACAGTGTTTTAGTGAACACCAATGGTCTATAGGAAACTCTCACTTTCTTTCTAAGGGCTCATCATTTCTTTAATAATCTTTTCTCAAATTTGACAAAGATCAGAATCTTTGCCATATGAAAAGTGGAAAATACACTAATATCTACACTTTTGGTGTTAGAATTCCCTGTGAGTTTTCAAAAGCTGAGGTTATATCTGTATGTAATTTCAATAGCAGGAGCTTAATTTGGTTTATCTAACAAGTTGTGGTTGTACAATGCCACATCCAGATACTCTTTCATGTACCATCTTTCACTTGGTTTCAGACACCCAGATTTACAGCTCTCCCATTTTATCATTTATCCAGATTCAATTTCTTCTTCTAGATATTTGTTTAATGTTTCTGGATTAAGGAACATTTTGCCTGCTAGAGCAAACAGAAAAGCTGAGAGTTAAAAATTCTGCCTTTTCTCATCCTCTAACATTATTATACCATCTGTCACAAGCCCTGAGCCTATCCTCCCCTTGTTCTCAATCCAAAAGAAACAGCTTTAAGGAACTATTCTGCTGTCCTCAGAGTATTTTTTGAGCTGTTTTTCAAATTCAGCTTCTTTGCTGCATTATATATACACCAGTTTTACTCAGGCTTTTATTCTGGGTTACATATCCCCTTTCCAATCTTATATGTCTTTCCAAAATCTCATTCGTTAGAGTGCCCCGTGGTGCTACAGTGACCTCCATGGAGGCCACTGTGAACAAACCCAAATTGAACTGAACTACTTAACTGGCTTTTACCCATGGAATGATCTGTAATTGTATTGGCTGAAGTTCATTGTTTAGAGCCTTCTTTTCTTTGATAGTCAAAATCACTTCAGAAATCTGTAGATATGGAACTTTGTGGGTTTCTAGGGAATCTACCTTCCCAAAGCATGGGACTGAACCAAGAGCAGAGGCTTTGTATCCATCATCAGAGACCTTTCTCAGCCTTTGGATGAAGCTGATTATAAATGCACCTAACTAGTATCTTGCAGCCTATATGACCATATCTTGTCCAGGAGGTGATTATAGGTACTTC